TGCACGAGGTTAGGAAATAAATACATCCTTGTTCTATTCCCTCTCCCAAAAAAAAGTGTCTATAGGGCTAGCGCCGGCACATTGAAACGTTTCCGAAGATCGTCCGCCAAGTTTGGCGCAGGAGCGCTCGGCGCTTGTGGCATTTGTCGGCGGCAGATGTAAATAGGCGATCCCGGTCATGCCGTCGTTTGTGAATACCGCAACAAATAACCCAAAACAGCTTCTTTTTTTTTAATAAGGTAAGTTTGTTTTTGATATTCTCAACCCATGCTTCCACCCAGTGTTACACCTCGGTAGCAAATCGCAGTGCAATACGTATAAGAATCTAATTTTTTCGGGCCGCCTAAATTGCCTTAGAAGCGTTAGTTTACATGCTGTACGTCGGATCAGTTCTTGAAAGAATGCACGAAAAATGTATACAATTTACACTACGGCCGTTTAGGAACACTGGACAACGCACTATTGTGAAATCTTTTTCTCCTCAGCGAGTTGGAAGAGAGGGGCAGTCTGTGCAAAAGTCAACTGGGGGCTAAACCGCAGTCGACGTCGTGATTCGGTAGTGTCAATCTGGCACCGGCAAAAGTGCACAGTCACTGCGCTAGTCGTCGTAATGTGTAGGCTATCACTAAACAAATCACGCACAATAAATGCCCCAAAAAACTTGCTCTTTTTTTTTTTTAGGCATGGTTTGTTTAGCTGTTGACGGCAAATCCGCCAAGACAACGAGCGCCCCCACGATACACTTTTTGGCGTTGATTGAATGGCACCATCGGATCGTGGTGCCGACTTTGGTCGGACTTGGGTTCAACCAAACTATAGCTAGAGAAAATTTCCGACAGCATACATATTTGTTTTTAACTTTTGAAAGTTTGATTGCGTCACCTTGATTTGCCCTTTTCTCGATATCTGTTCTGATTTTAGAGATAAGATGCCAGGGAGAAATAAGATGCCTACGTATTCTAAGAAAAAATATGTTTAGCTTAAGTAGTTCAGAAAACAGCCGTGGACCTTTTTTTTTTATATATAGGGTGTCGCATTCTGGCGTGATACAAACAATGAGTTCACTGACGTATTAAAACACTGAAACCCTAGAAACCAAATAAATGTCATCCTAATAATAAATGGAGCGTTTCTTGTGGTTCTTTGCTGGTGTTTTTTCATAAATTTTGTCAAAGCGAAAGGAAAAAAAACTACCTAATAAGAACAGCGTTCGCGGAGGCCATAAACGAAGTGTCGAACGATTACACTAAAAGCATTCGATATGACGAGACGGAAATTCTTTTACTAGAAAAAACAAATTGGAAAACCCTAATACCGTTGTGATACCTTTTTTTTTATGAACCGCTTTTTTATATTATTATTTGATTGTATTATTTTTCAGAACATAAAAGGAGACAAGTGGAGGAATAATTCGAGGCTGACTATACAGAGAACCCCACTACAAAGTTAAAAGGAGAAGACGGGCATAATTCCGGGATTCACAGCATAATTTCGCTTCCAAAGCAAGAAGTGTATGTCCACAATTTTGCGAAGTAAAAAGATGTGGCAGCGGTGGGATTCGAACCCACGCCTCCGAGGAGACTGGTGCCTTAAACCAGCGCCTTAGACCGCTCGGCCACGCTACCGAACGTACGACCTTTTAATGGAAGCAGCTTCTAAATTTAGTCCAAATTAAACTAGGACCTCGTTTGTGTCATGTCGTTTGCCTGCACTAGATAACTCGGTGCGTGCGGCAGTCACGCTAAATTTTGCCCAAGAGTAGCACCAATTAAATGCGTTGAACACTGTGTTTGAGAACGCGACTTCATTAATTGCATATTTAATCTAGCCGAGCATTTTGTGCTTCAATTTAGTGATTGGAATTCTCTCCGGGGATTTAAAACAAACTTAGAGATCAATGAACGGTTATTTACTATTTTTTTCAGTAACAATGCAAAATTTGTATATATCAACATGCATCATGAGAGTATGGAAGTAAAATAACTGTAAACATGAATTACGGTACGTCACTAAATTACTGCATTCAAAGTAATAAAATAGTGATATCCATAACGTAGGAATTCGAAGAATGGAAAAACAGTTTAGAATCAGAATTATATCCAAATACGCTCTTAAAGACATTTCATTATCAAATAACTTGCAAGGTTATAAAATTCTTATAGTGTTTATTTCTTTTTTAAAAAAATGTTATTTTGTAATATGTATACATCGCGGCATACAACTATTTTGTTGGCTAAGATACAGTTTTATATTATTTATAAAGTACGATCTCTTTTTTTTTTACGTTCGAATCAATAAATGTCTCGGGTGCTGAGCTAAAAATACACTGTCTCAATTGCCTCTTTGTGAAACTAATTTTTACGTATTCGATACAGAATTTATAAATAATATAGGCCTAATTTTATCATATTACCGCTTAATTGTGAGTCTTAAGGAAAAACTTCCATCGGGCAACTTTATTTACCCTTAGAAATAGAATAAAAACGAATTAGCCGTGTTGGTCGGTATATGTCAAACAGACTTCTACTTTCATGGTTGATCTTTTACACATAGCCTAGGATGGATAGCATCCAAAGGTAGTATTTTAGGAATAAATTTCGCAATCTATATATAAATATGAATATATATATCTATAAGTTGAAATTTTACGCAGTGTGAATGGTCCACAGCCGCAGACAATGCAACGACTTTTTTTCTTCAAAATTGTTAATTACGACAAGAATTTGTAGTAGTGAACGATCTTGAATATGGCGGACGTCAGATCCTTTCAATAATCACCTCTGATACGGCAACCTTTTTTTTTTCCCCAATAAAGCAGTTATTTTTAGGGTGTATTGTGTTATACAGTGTTGTAAGCGTCACCGGAAACAAGTTGTGGGATACGTTACATGTTACTTGCATATGAAAGGAAGCCATTTCTAACCTACGTTCCCTCAAAATAAAAAGGAACGTGTCACCGTTACAGATAAAAAGTAACGTACGTTACTTTCGTGTTACTTTTTGCTTATAAACTTGCCACAGCGCACACCTCAAAATGAAGTCTGCGCTGTGGCATTACGCAATGCAAAACGTCATGCTTGCATTGTGTAATGCCACAGCGCAGACTTTATCTTGAGGTCTATACGGATGTTCCGCCCCCTCATTCGTTGAGCTGATTTCGTAGATCGCTGAGATTGGCTCTTTGAGTGTTTTGCGGGTAGCGGGTAAGTAGACGCACAGGCATTTCTTAGAGTATCGTAGATTACTAGTGATATAGTCCTTTGCAAAAATCGCCTCCTGCGCGCTGCCATCTTTGTCTACTGGGCTGTGGAACGCCTCCCAAGCATGCGCTGTTGATCTGCTGTGCGGTATATCGGACGCTGCGCATACGTCCAAAGCTGAGTGACTCAGCGTTTTTTACCCGGTCGCTTCGTTCAAGACTGCCGCTGGAAAGGTCTATAGTCAGCATATACAAGCGTACGTGTTTGATTTCTTTTTTAATTCGAACATATTTATTAGAAAAAAAATTACGTAACAACGTACACTCATGCGCTTTGTGTAGGTGAGTTATACTGCCAGGGAAGCGCAAGTTTGTCTGCTTATTTTGGGTTTTTTTTTGTGACATCAGAACGCCGAGTTTTGATTGGCTGTTATCGAAGGATAGCGGGTGCATTCTAAAAAAAAGAAAGCCCGTGCGTCTACTTTCCCCCACAACACTTAAAGAGCCAGTGAAAGCTATGGGCCATAGAGATCGGATAAAATAGGGAAGAGGGGCAATTGAAACTTCTCTATTACATCCTTAACCACTCCACCCCGCGCGGCCGCGGGATAGATTGATGGGATGACTACGAGCTTCCTTGCGGCTACCTCAGGGAGTTTATTGATTTTAAGGTATCGACGTTTATCGAAGCCGCACTTGTGTGCGAATCTTGTCATTAGACAAATTAGTACTGCCAATGACACCAACGACAAATTCCGCTGAAGAAATATGAATTGATACAAGCCCGTCTTATTTTTTTATCTGACATACGTTTGCGTCCGGTTATTATTTCTTATTTTTAATGGGAAGCATTTTGGAAGATTAAGGATTTACAAAAAATAAACTCCGATAAACACCGAATTTTCGCTAAAAAATAAACTCCGAACAACACCCTCCGAATTTCGCGAAAAACAAACTCCGAAAACACGGTGCCCTAATTATCACCCGCAGGTTTCAATTTTCTTGTAGGCAAAATAATTCCCAACATCATACATTTTTTCATAAGAAATAAATATTCGAACCTTTTTGTCTACACGATTTCAAATGAAATTATTCATGCACATATATATGGTGAATAAATTCTTCTTCTTCTTCTTCTTCTTCTGCTTATTATTATTATTAATTCGTTTTTAGGTGGTGACACTTCTTAAGCATAACAGAAGAAAAAGTTTTCTAGATCGAGAATAGGCATGCATTAAAAAAAAACATATTAAACTGCTTTGAATATGTGGGAGAGTATGCAATAAGCATGATTAAATTCTAGCCAACCACTTATACAATTAATAAAACTACACTAAAAGATTGCATCTTGGGATTGAATTCGTATAAGCTGCAGTAGGTCCGTTTCTATTAACTTGCATCAGCACTGAACGATGTTTGGAATAAGCGTCAACGATATACCTCAAAGAAACCTCTGCTTTTACCTCATTTATTCTTTAGCCCACTAATGCAAAAAACGTCCGCTGGTTTCCCCAATAAATAAGTGCATCCCCCAGAGATATGCCCACCTTTCTTCTACCGCATTTTCCGGGGCGTCCAAGTTTTTATTTCTCTTTTTCTGTATCGCTCATTATGGCGATACACGACGGACGTTTTTAATGACAGATTACATTAATGATGATTTCTCTTGAATACAACGCTTCCTTTCGCGCTAACATTTGTTACCTTTTTCTCTTTTCTTTTTTTTTTTTTTTCGGCCGAAATTTGTTTATGAAGACGATAACACAGATTGCAGGGTTCGGGGGCTGCCGGCCCGACTCACCATGTTGTTGGGCCGCGACGGGTGGTAGCTGTGCAAGTTGATACGTGGACGGCGCTAGCGGAGAGGCTACGGCGCCGGCCGCCGCTGCCGCCGCCGCCTGCACGTATCCGTACCCTTGGGCGTAGTACGGGTAGCCCTGGGGTCCGTATCCGCCGTAGCCCGTGTAGTCGAGCGGCGACTGGGCACCTCCCGCTTGCGCAGACGTGGGAGCTCCACCGAAGGCGCTGCTCGAGTAGCTCGACCCTGCCAGTTCGGCACGGACGAAAGAAAACGAGAACGGGGAGATTAGGGAGTTTTTGGTAAAACGTAGCGGCGCGCAGGTGGGGAAAACACGGTCAACGAAAACTCTCTCTCGATGTAAGGAGTGTATGGGAAAGAAAAAATGCGTGTTTTTTTGTCCACCTAAATAAACTACGCATCGCCAAAAAAAAAAAAAGAAAAAGGTTCAAACTTTGCGAGAATGTGACGCTAGGGGTGGTGATACAACGCGAAAGTTTCGGGTCATGGCGTTTCATGGATCAAAGGAAACGAGAGAAAAACAAAATTTCGCTATGAGCCGATGTTCACCAAAGCCTAATCAATATTCGTCGACCAAGAAACGACATTGAACACCTGTAGCATTCATTTCAGTGAAAGAAAGAAAAAAAGAAAAACGTCAATGAAAAAGAAAACAACTTCGTCTACTTTTCCGTCTGCAAAAAAAAAAAAAAAATTTTTTTTTCGTTGGAATAAATGTTACAGGCGCCACCAGCGGCATTTCTTGATATTGGCGCACTCGTGTATTTCTGCGCACTCGTGCATGGTTTCTCGGTCGAGCCCAATCATGAAATTACTTTTTGATACCAAGGTAGAACTTCCTATTCCGAAACAAGTCAAAGCGACGCATCTCCAAATTGCGTACATACTACGCGTATCGTCGTTTGAACATAAGAGGTAGCGAGTTATTGATTTGACCGCCACCGTATGCCCATGCTTGTGAATGTAACGGCACACAAGTGCAAGCCAGCCAAAGTACTGTTCACGCGCGCTAGTCGAAGCTATGAGCTGATGGGGGACCAATCAGACACCGTCAAAAGCGCACCATTATGGCGTTCGTCATGTTTATGACGAACACCATGATGGTGCGCCATGGCGTTCGTCATGTCTATCATCGTTGAGCCAATCATTAACACTAATACCCGCGTCCCACTAGAGCGACATACAGAAACAAAAGACAAAGACAAGCCTCAAACCAGAGTCTTTCGCAATTTGAGACGCTTTGTAGAGTAACGGTGGCTATGCTCAAACACGAGCATCATGCACGCGAGGGTATCTTTGGCAGGCTTGCAATCACTCGTGCTTACTTTGCGAGCACCGAACGACTAAACGCCTGCCAAAGGTACTATCACGAGCATGCTGCATGGGTTTGAGGCTTGTCGCTGTCTTTTGTCTCTGTCTGTCGCTCTAGTAGGATACGGGCATAAAGGCCCAGTGACTTGCACTTTTGACGCCGCTAGATCGGTCCCATCACCTCGTAGCGTCGACTGCGTCTGGATTTAAGCTGAAACGAAGGACAGACGCCATGGCTGCAAGCGTCTGCCTTCGCGCAATACACTTGGGAGTGCTATTCGCTCCAAGGAGGCTCGACGAACGACGAAGCTGAAAATACGTTTAAACCTAAACATATATATATATATTTCACCGTGGCATTGAACGTGGTGTTTAACTCCGCTCAATGCCGCAGTACGGGCTCTATTTCTAATTGTCTTCAGCCTCTTCGTTCCAATAGTTAGCTTCGTAGATTGCAGCGATAGGCAACGAATTGCGGGAGGCAGACGTTCCTGATTTTTTTAAGAGTGAAGAAAACAAGCACGAGGCTCTCGGGGCCTCGCGTGAAAGATTGCACGCGACGCCGGAAGACTGACGGCACTCTCGCTTACTTGGGGCTCCACCGCACGGCGACAGTAACGATCGCTCCGCTTCGGCTCTCGACGCCAGCTCACAACTCTCGCAGATCCAGATCCATCCCGAATCTTCCCCTTGTTCACGCACGCGTCGTCGAGCTGATTCCATGCTGCCGCTGCCGCTTTCATCATACATCAATCCCGTTCCTAGCATTCTCGAAGTGCCCGTGAACCCGACGAATTTTCAAACTGTCGGGCGTTCGTGAAAACAAAGCAGCGGTCGGCGTCGGCTTCGCGATAAATTGAGCTAGGGACGCCTGCACGCGGCTCCCACTGCCTCGCACGAAAGCACACTGGGCGGGGAGACGCCACTTTCAAAGTGGAATCTTTCTCTGTTCTTCTCGCGCTCCAGCTTGAGGGGGGGTTGGGGGGTGCCCCTTCTTGAGGCGTCTCCGTCCGCGAACGCATCCGCTGTTTTACGGCCGTGGGGTAACCCGACCCAAACCCGGGGTGGCTGGCTCGACTTCGAACTTCAGCCTGCTGAGGACGCGTCAAGGTCGCTGGGCGCATTCTAAGAAGCTCGTCGTCCTCCCACCACAAGGGGGGTCTGCACCCACGTGTCGGAGGGGTGGCGTGGGAGAGGGAACTACGCGCGCACGCACAAACCACCCCAACACACACACACGCTTCCTCGCCAAACAAAACGCAGAAACACACAGAGGCACAAGTAAGCACAAAAACAGCCGCGTACACACGAAAACACAGGCACACGAAAACGCAGCCAAAAACGTACGTGTACATATACAGACAGTGGCGCAAGCAGGCTCGCTTCGTCAAGAACACGCGGCGCAAACACGAGCGCCCGTACATTCAAGTGCACATACCCTTATAAACACAAACGCACAGACATCAACGATGAAACCTATACGAGCGCAGGCATACGGCAGAAAGCAACGTGCAAGCACTCGGACACATACACACTCATGAACATGCACAAGCATGCAATCAAACGCCCGCACACACGCACGCACATAAACAGACACACATATGAACTAATTCACGACGAGGTTCCTTAGATGAAATAACCGGTCCATCCCCGCGCTTAGCAAAAAACACCACTTAGTGGACCCTGTCAAACTCATGTTTCGTTAAAAAAAAAAAAAGAAAAAAAAAGATGACTTGACAAGGAGTGTATACGCCACGGCTCCCTTCAGTGAGTCACAGTCAACCCTTCCTACATCCTCTCCACGTTTTCCCTATCTCCAGCTTGGCTCCCTTTGCCTCTTTTAGGAGAGGAGAGCGCTAAGAGGATTATCTTCCCTGCAGAAAACCGACGTTGTAGTACGTCGGCCTGCGCAGGAGAAGTGTATACTACGCAATCACGGTGTCTAGCGCCCGACTCCGAACCCCAGAATGGCTCGCTGATGGGGCCGCAGCTTTCGCCGTTTTGCCGAGTCAGATAACCGCAGTACAGTCGCGATATTGGCGAGGAGATTGAAATGTACGGAGACGCTTTATCCACGTTGTTTTCCACGGAGCCCGGTGTTTTCCCCAACGCGAGATGTGTGGACCGTGTTCTTCGCGTCATCTTCCTCAACAAAGACCGGGGCACAAATTGGACGCGAGAGCTGTGTCCGTCAGTGTTCGGCCACATCAGCCGTAGTGAGTGCCCTGCCTCAGAAACACGAACAAAAAATTCACGTTGCTGTTGTCCCCGTGGGTTTGCTTCTCTACTTGGCCACTAGGGGCGCAGCAGCTGGATTTGCGCTCTGGGCTTTCTAAAGCCAGCGACGGAATAGGAATCGTTGGAAAAGCAAAAAATCACCAGGCTCAGGTTATTGGACTGTTGGCCTACGTCGAGGGAAGAATAAAGGTTTTGTTATTATTTACGAACCGTAGGGAGAAAGGGCGCGCACCAGGCAGCGAAGAGGCACCGCCGTCAAACGGATTGTCACATTCGGTTGGGGAGAATGTTGAATGAACGTTCGTGCTTAGCACCGATATGGGATTCAGAACCATGCTCCATTAAATTTGAATTTAGAAATATAGTGGCCAAAAGGTTAGCCCGTCAGTTTTCTTTCTTTTTTTTCAATTGGGAATGGTTTATTATTTGAATTTAATTTTTTTTCATCCATTTATCTTTCCTGATAGGGAATGTGACGTCACGTACCATAGGCGTAGTGTCCCTGCGGCGAAGGCGGCATCGGCGACTGCGTGCCGTTGGTGGTCCCGAAGCTCCCCGCCGCGTATAGGTACGACTGGGCCAGACCCGACTTGCCCTGGCCTCCGGACTGGGACGTAGAGTGCTGCTGCCGGGAGCCTGCAACCCACGCATCGGCCAAAGACCCGGCGAACCCGGTGAACGCATGTCGTCGCCGCGCGTATTTTAGAGTTGGCGATAAGGATGAGTGGTTTACTGTCTCAATGATCCCCATACAAAAATGGTCTATGGTCGCCTATGTAAAATTCTAGGGCAGGCCTGTGTTCTGTGTATTATGTGTGTTCAGTGATGCACATACGTGTATCTGCCATGTAGCTTTCAGAATTCAAGGGAACTTGAAAACAATTTTTCAGAGTGCGCTGGCTAAAGAGAGTCATGGGAAAACCCCATACCGCCTTCTTTAACTAACCACACAAATGGCTAAAGACACCCAAGAAAAAGCCATAGGAAACTATAGCATGGTGGAGAGAGCCATAGGACGACCCACAGACCTTTCTTTAGCACGACACGTAAGAAGCTATAGATGGCTAAAGCAACTAAAGGAAAAGCTATAAACAGCTGTAGCATGTAGGCCCCAGAAAGCCATAGGGTAGGTCATATAGAAGTCTTTAGCCAGCCATTAGGAAGGCTAAAGAGCGCTATGACTGGATATTGATAGGGCCATAGACAAAACGAAAGAGGCCCTTAAAGGTGACCATAAAGAAATGCAAAAGACAGTCATAGAAATTTCTTTAGCTAGTTAGGCCTAATAGCTAAAGCCGACCATACAAAGAATTTTCTATAGCCGACTATAGGACATTTTTGTATGGGGATCGACTCAATGACACAATGAATAGATGCCCTATTCTGTAACCAAATTCTGTCGAGACCGGTTATAACAAAGTCGGTTATAACAAAATAGCGGCTACATCGAAGCGATTACGATTTCCCAGTCCGTTTTGCATTTCGTTTTAACCGAAGTCGGTTATAACGAGATAGCGAATATGGCGAAGTCATTTCCGATTCCCGTTGACTTCGTTATAACCGGTCTCGACACTAGTCATGACGATGGACGCATTTAAAAAAATACACACCAAGTAGTGGATGCCGCGTTCATTATCTGAGTACGCCATTGTTTGGGCACGAACTCTGAGCATGAAGTTTACACGAGGGCCACGTCAGCGTTCGGCGTGAATTCGGATTCAATCACACGCTTCGTGCCCCATCTCCACAGAAACCGCCAGTGTTACTTGACGGGGTTGTGAAAACGGTCTATTAAGGCGAAATACCCCTTTCCCTAAGCACGGGAAGATCAGTTACTCGAGTAAACAGCGGGGCGGTGTGAAAGCAGACAGTGCTCTGTTACGCTTGCGGTCTGTTTACACGTGCAGTCTCTGTCAAAATTTAGAGCCCACAGCGCACGAGTTCAGAGTGGGTTTTTCGCTCCCTTTAGGGCGGCGCTGCTATCGTCGGTGCTCGTTAGCGTGCCTAGATTAGAAAGAGAGAAAGGGAGAGCTTTCAACTGTTCGATTGAGGTCACGTGGTTTGTGGGCCGCGTTTACAAAACGAGTTGCGAGGGGGTGACGAAAGAGTTGATCGTCCGCGAGCGTCTCCGCCTCTTCTCTGCGTCCGCCATTAAAGTGCAAACGCTTCCCACGGTTTGAGTTGCTCCCTCTCCTAAACATGGGCTCTCTCTAGCGCTCGCATGGCTGCCATTAGGTATTCTCAATACCCTCGAAACAAATGCGAGTGCCGACGGTCGCAGCGCCACTGTACGGGAGCGAGCCCGCTCCTATACCACACACAGTAGGCTTAGCTGACAAAGGCTGTATACCTTCCACGGAAGGAACACTTACCGTACGAGGGCGTTAGCACCGCTGAGCCGTACGCCTGCGCAGGCTGGGCGCCGTACAAACTCGTCGCCGGCACGGAGTAGGAACCGCTGTTCAGTTGGCTGTACGCCTGCATACTGCGCAGAAACGGGAAGGGCGCGAAAAGATATATATATTCCGAGTGGTGAGCTATGCAGCATTACCAGATAGAATAATCGAAGCCCGCGTGCAAATAGCGGTTCCACGTCATCGAAGTGAGATTGGGCGTCAGTGCTCGGCCGGTCCTCGTGTTAAATCAGTGCGTCGAATGACATTCGGCGTCGGGCTCGGGCCAAGCTGCTTAACTCGGCGCCAGCCGAAGGTGATGTCGTCACATGGACGTAGACTACAGCGTGGGCCAAATGGATTGAACGCACTTTAAACTGAACGCACGAATCGGTTTTTTAACTTATCGCGCTGGGATTTGCTACGGAGGTACTCGAAGCTGGTGCATTCATTAGTGAGAGTAAGAATACATGAAACGTCCGGAGTTAAAAGAAAGAAAACAAAAACTGATTTTGTCTATATGGAAAAAGTATCGCGAGGCCTTTTATCTCCAAATCATCAGAAAATCGTTGTGGGCTATTGTGTCAATTATTACGATTGAAAAAAAAAAATTGTGAAATGAAAAGAAAATTGAATTGGCCAACCTATTCTTCGCTTCATTTGTCCCAAATAAGCGCCACAGTAACACGTAACATTTTTTTTAGTGTACATTCAAAGTACAAAAATATATAGATTTTTTTTTTTTTTTTTGTTTCCTCATCCGAGCCAATCTTTCCACAATTTTAGCGAAAGCTTCCACCAGTTTCAGCACCTCTGAAGTGAATCCCAGCACCATAAGTTAAGAAACCGATTTATGCGATCAGTTCAAAGTGCGTTCCATTCATTTGGCCCACGCTGTAGATTGTTCATGGGCCTCGATCATTCCTGGTGGTGTTGGTTAGAGTGACTTTTAAGAAACCGAGGCCGTGGCATATACACCTTTTCCACAAGGGCGCAGCCATCTTGAATGTCGTCTCTTCTAGTATGCGGTAAAACATCGTTTTGATCTCTCCACGCCGCTGGAAGGTGTTTACGGAAAATGTGTGATGTTCACACATCTTTGTTTTGCCTCAGCTATATTTTCTCGCGTATTCTACGTTGAAATGCCTGATTATTTTTTTTCGTATCGCATACCACATACGGAACCCACGTGACTGAGGATGACAGGAAACAGGAAACGTCTACACTATCTTCGTGATGACGTCACGGGAAATGGACCTCTTGGCGAATATGTGCTGCCACCTAGACACGCGACTGGGGTCGAGGCTAAGTGGCGAGAAAACAACGCGCGCGCGAGGCCTCTCCCACCCGTTGCACTCCCAAAACGTCCGCTACATCCTGTTCATCGATTGAGACGCTGTGACCTAGATACGGCTCCCCCAAACTCGCCTTTGTCCCCATCGTGCGTAATCTTCCGCCCCGAAGTCGACACAACGAAACCATCTTCCCTCTCTGCTCGGCCAGAAGGAAGAGAGAGAGGGTACTGGAACCAGTTACTCTCGAACCGATGTTTCTGCAAAAGGTCCATTACCGCGAGCTGACGCCTTGACGTCACGTGACCGCGTCGCCCGACTTCCGGTCCCGCGTGTCGCAGGAACACGTGAAGAAGTTTCCACGTTGAGTTTAGCAGGAAAATCGACCGCGGCGACAACACCATGTCACGTGACACTGCGACACGCGACGCCGCCGCATGACGACCCGTCACGTGACGTCAGGTCTCGCGACGTAATATATCGAGCTCAAGTTGGCGGAGGAATTGAAATGAAAATGACGTGGCGTCGCGTATAAAGTGAAATTTTCCCCTCGCGCGTAAATGAAGGAATGTGCTTTAGCCTTTATGAAACGACCGTTTAATGTCTTGCGAAGGAATTTCAACGATTTTTCTTCAAATGACGCCGTCCGCGCAATATCAAACTCTTGAGATAAAAAGTCGTTCTAGTCGCTGACAGGGCGAGAACGGCAAGGACGAGCTACAGTTCTTCCGCCCCCAGGACCAGACTTTTTACAACGCTTCGGGGCCTCGTGCACGTCGAGCGCGCACGAGCAACCGAAAAACGGCGGAAGGCATGGCGCGCGCGCGCTGGAAGCCCGGACTTTACGAAGTTTATGCGTTAAATCTTGTACCCTTCAGGTCAGCATACATACTGAAAAGGGCTGCTTAAGTAAGTGCCTGCTTCGTGTCGATGTCTCTCAGCAATAAATGCCGAAAGCCCGCGAGGGGTATCCGCGAATATACGAGTCAAGTGCCCGCGCGTTAATACCTGGAGTAATACGGGGAGGCGGCGTAGGCGGCGCTGCAGTCCAGGGCGCCGCTGTGGGCCTTGCCCAGGCTGAGCGGCTGCTGCTGCTCGTCGGCCGGAGACGCGGCGGCCAGTCGCTGGACGCCGCCGAGGCCGCAGTGGAGCCTGTCGCCCCCGTCCACGGCGTAAGGGGTCGCCGACGACCCCAGGGACTCGGACACCGGGTACTCCGCGGCCGACGCTCCGCCCACGGGCAGCTTCAGGCCGTCCTGCGCCATGCAGAGAGCCAAGTGTAGCTGCAGACGTGGCCCACCAAATTATCTGCGCACACGCCTCAGCATGTCTGCAGAAGGTTTTTGTACGACCAATGTGGACCGTGGTACAGGGATGGATATTGGATGGAGGTTAATGGATATACCCTTCGTAACGGGCGGTAGCTTGCGCCACCTAGCCTAAGTCTGAAGTAAGGCCTGAGACAGTGTCTGCAGTTTGTCCTCTGTGTGATGTACTAGCGGTGTTAACGCACTGACTTTGGTACCTGGAACGCGTCCCCAACCAATGCACTTACAGCGTCTTTAAAAAAAAGATTGTACGGGTTTGATTATGCTTAAACAAATAAAGGACCGGGAACGACGAAATGTATTGAGTGTAAACTTACCACCTCGCAGAACCACTACGAGGAAATCGACGTCACTTGACACGTAAGGTCACGTGCCATGGTCACGTCATCCTGACGTAAATTTCCCCGTTCAATTTGGCGGGGAAAATGACGTCGAGTGGCGTGGATTTTCCCGCATATACCTCTAACGGGGAAAGTGATGCCGCGCGCCGTTAATTAGCGCCGCTAAATTTAGCCAGGGAACTGGCGTGACAGTTCTCCGCGACAGTACTTTTTTCGTTTCTTTTGTTTTGTTTCCGTGGGGTACTCCGAGACGATTCTTCATGACGGTTCTTCGTTGAAGTTTCGCGTGGAATTCGGCTAATGAAACGCACTGTGTTATAAAAAGTGATCTCTCGAGACTTTCGCTCCGACGACGTCGCGGCCGAAGTGTCAAGCCGTCACCGCGGGCCGCGATCCTATACACCAACTCAACTCTCCTACGTCACGCCGCGGTGGTGGCGCGCCGGACGCACTTCCGGTCTCGGGCGGTGGGCAGAAGTCGCCGTGCCAGACATGCATTCCTGTGTTCCTTTGGAAGAAACGAGACAAAAAACCTGCCTTTTCGTCAAAATGCTGCGATGGGGGCTTTACCAAGAGAGTCTGGGAAGGTTTGAAGATCAGTTTTCATGTGTTTTTGCACCCTCCGTTCGTCCGAGAACGTGGATAGCAGCCGTGAAAAGGGCAAACCTGACGCTGTCGAACTACGATTGCGTGTGTGTGCGGGCCACACTTTGTAGTCGCCAGATGTGTTTGCTTTGTTCCAACATGACCGAGAGAAAACCCCCAAGTTGTCCGGACCACCCACGGATTCAGTGCGTCTTCAAATTCACACGGCCGCCTGATCGTTCGAATTTTCGTCTGCTCTTTCAAACGTCTGCTTTTTGTCGTCTGCTCGTTCAAACAAAAGCGGCCCGTAGACCAAACTTTGACCCGGTGATTGCAATAAGAAGTAATTGCAGGCCTCAAAAGACTTAAGTAGGCTCGGTGTAAACAGTAGATACAAGATGTTGATAATTGGTACCGGTGGCCATCACCGACTTGTTGTTACGCTTGGTCTGTTCCCGCTTCCGATTTTCAGTATCAATGTCGATCATCGCCGCTACCTTCTACACTTTTGCAACACGAGCGACGTCGCTGCTGAAAATAGCTAGAAGAATCTCATCGTGGTTTTGGCGTCCATTCTGCGGCGTTCATGCGAATGAATCGCCGCACGTCAAATTATTTACAGAAAGTTTAGCGGCGTAACGAGCCTTGATAATTTCGCTTAGGTGATTAAAGTGGTAAGACATTGCGATGAGGACGTAGAATCGACAATTCCAACGCGAAAAAGAGTATGCAGACCCACACAGACGCCGACAACGTGACATTCGAGTGGTTTGTTGACGCGGGACGCGGTGCTTCTTGCCCGTACCCCATTACGCATCGTTCGAACCGTCGTCTGCTCTTTCAAAATCGGCTGCTTTTTGTCGTCAGCTCGTTCAAACGACAGCGGCTCGTAAACCAAACGTTGACCCGGTAATTGCGATAAGAACTAAGTGCAGGCCTCAAAATATTTTTGAAGGTTGGTTGGGGTAAGTCGGCTAAGTGTAAACAGATACAAGAAGTTGTTGATCATTGTTACCAGTGGCCATCACCGACTTGTATTGCCCGATTCTACTTGAGGTTTTCAGTATCGATGTCCACCATCTCAGCTACGGTCCACGCTGTTGCAGTCCGAGCGACGTCGCGACTGAAAATAGCGAGCAGAATCTCGACGTGGGAGTCAGGCTTCAGCGCCCATTCTGCGGCGTCCACGTGAAATGAATCGCCGCACGTCACATTATCCACGCAAAGTTTTGCCTCGATAGTTTTGCTGAAGCCGCTCAAGTAGTCAGACATTGTTAGGAGGACGTAGAATCAACAATTCCAACGCGAAAAAGAGCACGGGGACTCCCACCGACGCCGACAACAACGCAATTCAATGGTGTGTTTATGGGCGACGGCGGACTTCTTGCCCACCATCCACGGCGCATGCGCGGCGCCGGTGACGTCCGCTAGGGGCGCTCCGGTTTGTTTGTAAACATGAGTTGGTGTATAGCGGTATTCAGAGCAGCGGTGGTGAATGTGCCCAGACGCTCCTTCTGTTGCCAGGTCGCTCTCCAGCTTCACAGTCTACGGAAGCTCTGGCAGCCGGAAGATTGCGACGCCGCGACGATGCCGACACTCGCGTTCGCTCGCAATTATCGTCGGGACTCTCTAGCACCGGCCTCCAGGATTGCGAAAAACCGAGAGCGTAACAGGCCTGCTTCCGTGACGTCATTTCCTGGCACTTCGGGACGACTTTCGGTGCGTTGGCGGGAAAGGACGCTGAACACGCCGGTCGAAGACGGGTTTCAAACACCGCAACTAAACTGCGCCTTAAAAAAAAAAAAAAATTTTACCGCGACAGTTGTTAACGAACACAAGAGCGACAGACAAAGAGAAAGTCGCCAGACTTTTAATATGCGAAGAAAAAATAAATAAGAACTAGTTCCCCGCTATTTTAGAACTGTTGTCCTTCAATCTTGTTTTTGTTTGTTTTTTTTGAAATCAGGGTTTCATCTGAAAGTGTCCCCTCGTGCCCATGTCTGATTTCTGAATTTAAACATTTCAAACTCGCTATACCATCCGCAAAATATTTGGTATTTTTGCCAAGCCAGGTAGCTTCTCCCTGATGAAAAAGAAAATTATGCGAATGTCTTCAATAAACATGTGAGAATATAGCATAAGGTCATGTAAGAACTTATATTGTCCCTATATGGTGCATCGTGCGTTTAATTTATACATATTCTGATATGTTTATTAGGATTATCATAGGATTATCATCTACAGATTATTATCTTTTTCCGGTACGGTAGCCGGCTTCATAACGTACAGTACTTGTCTAAATATGTGTTACAAATGAAACGTATTTTATTGTATTCTGTTATATTCTATGTTCTTCTATTCTATTCTATTCGCACGAGCCATGCGTGGCCAGTGCGGCCTACCTGGGACGCGGACTGGGAGCAGAGGTTCCAGGCAGTGGCCGGGTACGGGTCCGACTGGAGCACGAGGCCGTTGGACAGGGGCCCGCCGGCGGCCAGGGAATCCTCGGCTGCGGGGGACTCGGGCCCGGAGTTCTCGGAGCCCGCGCTGGAGCCGTTCTCAGCGGGACTGCTCTCGCTGTCTTGGCTGGGGGACGCGCCGGCACGGACCAGCAGAACAGAGACACGTACCAAGGTTCTCAAGGCCCGTCCACGCAGGAGCATTTGCGAAAGTTTATTCCTTACGATACGTTGTAAGTTATCGGAAGATTAGAGGTTCAAATGTCGCCTGCTTGGTTACCCCTTCAACTGGTTGCCACAATTCACACGAAGCACGGGTGTCCCAGTAAGGGGGTGTCCAAACAGGACACTACAAAACGCACGACTCCGATAAATCGTGAAAATTGAAGCGGACGCTTCTATACGAGCGTCCGCTTCCATTTTCACGATTTGTCGGAGTAGTGCGCTTTGTAGTGTCCTGTTTGGACACCTCTTAACACGAGGCGTAATGAGCTGCCGTAACATAACATCAATGTTTCGTATCCGAAACATTGGTGATTCGCATGAAACGTGCAACCGATTTAAGGAGTCGCCTCGTACGCATAACTACGGATCTTCCGGTGACTTGCACCTCCGTGTTTTCGGTAAATATCGATAAACCCCGAAAGGTAAACCCAGAACCAATTTAAACAAAATCGAAAAAAAAAAACAGTCTTAGCCAATCCAGGTTAGTGAGCGTCACTGCTTCTCCCAAGATCACGTATCACACATTAGAGCACTGCACTGGCTCGCCCGGGCCCGGCCCGGCCCGCGGGCCGGGCTCGGGCCGGGTAGTACGTATTTTTTAAAGCCCGGGCCGGGCTGGGGCTTGAAAAAAAAAAATTTCCGGGCCGCGTCGGCCCGGGCTGGCCCGGGCCGTGCCTGGTCAGTCGTGTGCCGTAAATTTTAAATTGTTAACAACAATAGGGGAGTACCTACACGACAAGAAAGGCTACGCGTGCTCATGAGTGTCTGAGCTTTGTGACTTCTGGAGAGCGCACGAGAAAGAATTCCCGAAACTGTCCATTCCAAACGCATCCTTTGCATCCCTGCTACAAGTGCTAGCAGCGAACGGAACTTTAGCGCGGCGGGCTACATTATGCAAGCAAGACGGACCTGCCTGAAGAGAGAGTCCATGGACAATTTATTGTTTCTCCACAAAAATATGTAGGAAGGAAATTTCTCTTAAACGAATTGAATAGAACAACGAAAAGTACAATATCTCTTCAATAAATTCATAAATAAAAAATTCTCCACTTGTGTCTCGATGATTGTCAATGTGCCATGAGCTCAAAGACTCGCAAATGATGCGCATATTTCACCCATACTCTCGACAATACATATTCTAAGTCGACATATTTATAGTATAAAAAACTCGGTCCCAGTTTTCCGGCTCGGGCCGGGCTCGGGCTCATATTTGAAAATGTTATCGGGGTCGGGCCGGGCCCGGGCCGTGTCTCTACCGGGCCGGGTCGGGCCGGGCCTAGAAATAAAATATTCTGTCGGGCTCGGGCCGGGCCCGGGCCGTGTCTCTACCGGGCCGGGTCGGGCCGGGCCTAGAAATTCCGGCCCGTGCAGTGCTCTACCACACATACACACATGCACACACAGTCTTGCTTGGCACTGATGGCTCGAAGCGTCCGCTGCAGTCGGTCGCGAGGTGCAACGGAGAGAGAAACCATCCAATTGGCTTCACCCGAAGACTATCCTCTACATACTCAGCTTTGTTTTCGTGCTGACCAGGACCACAGCCTCGTCGAAAATGTCAGCGAGGCTTTTCTCTCTTCGAAACCACGCTCCTTCACTCGTTTCCGTGCACTTTTGGCCAAAACAAGCCCTAATAAACGCCAATTGTTTGGCAATAAACTGATCGATTGATCAATCAGTTATGCAAACAGTGGCTACTCGGGGTTTTAATACTGTGGGCAACACCGACCAACTTGATTTAGAGAACTGATCTTAAAACAAAAGCGATGATCCCCGGTTATTTCTCAGAACCCATCAAAACATTCGGAAGCCCTTGAATTCGAGAGTGAAGATACGACCCAAGTCAACGATTCATTCGGCCGCCTGCGTGACGGGCAGTTGCCTTAGCTCAAGTTCGAACAACAACAAAAATATTAAAAAAAACTAAAAATAATAAGAACGAGACAACAGATGGCCCGGCCTCATGGAGATCTCTCGGGGGAGAAATGATGCGTGTTTGGTTTGGCTCAACCCCGACCCCTCGACTCTCCCCCGCACGGTGACAGGGAAGCGGGCAGGGCGCTTTGCTGCCCGAAACCTTTCTCTTTGTGCCAATGTTTGTTTTTATCTGTCATTTTCGTTTATGTAGATTTGCGTCGTTTCGCCTTATAAATCACGTCATACTTAGGGTGGAAGAGACTAACTTAGCCTCACTTTGCACCCTTTCGAGATATGTCACTGTTGTTCGTGGAAAAAATAGAAACCGTCTCACCTTTGAGGGCACATTAAAATATGAGGAAATGATTAAGCACATAAATAAAGTTTATGCGCCTTCTTTTTTTTTTAAGCGTCTTTTTCGTAACCTTTTCTACCGAGTGGAAAACACCGAAAAATTAAGAAATAGTGCTACTGTATAAAATAAAGTGTTGGGAAGTACTTCAAGGACGTTTGACTTAAGGTGCTACTTCGAGTATCTTTAGAAAACTTATTCCTTGATTAAAGCCCAATCTCTTGAATGTGTACTTGTAACTTTCTTCAAGTACGTTATTGCTGCTTTCCGAGAAAAGTACAACTCCCGACTTCAAAGCACATTTCACCAATTTGTGCTTTTTAAACTTGCATTCAAAACTGATGCTTTTTCGACGAGTAAGTGTTTTATACGTTGGCTATGTTAAATCGTTCGTCAGCGAGTGCAGAACTACTACTCTGTGGCCACTTTATCCAATATTCGCCGCTATTTAAGGAAATAACTGAGGCTCCCCCGTTATCTTTAAGGCAAAGCATACCAGCTAAGAAAAAGCATTGTACAGGGGATCGAAATGGCGTTATGTAAGATTGTGTTAAAAAGGACTTGTACTTTACTTTTAAAATACATTTTATTTATGGTAGTTTACTCGAAGTACATTGTGCCCGGTGTACTTACAGCTCTACTTCACTAACATAGACTTTCATTTACTTTTACACTTTACTTCAAGTACATTGTGCCCGGTGTACTTACCACTTCACTTGGAGTGCATTACCTTTCATTTACTTTTGTACCTCACATCAAGTAATGTTTTTGTACTTTACACAGCAATGAAAATTAATATATAAAAACTCGTATCCACGTGTTTAAGTAATCGCTGAGCATTTGGAGAACCAACCGTGATGATCGTTACTTGTCTAAGCAAAGAGGAAGGTTGGTTGGCTAAAATCTGAAATGGAATTCAGCATTGTGCGGATGGTAGACCGCCCATTGTGTATAAACCCCCCAAAAAAAAGTTTCGCAAAAAAAAAAAAAAGAAAGAGAAGAGTTATTTTTTAGATTTTTTGCACCTGCTGCAGAGTCCGCACAAAAAACAAGAAAAAAATCTCAAATTCTAAACTTCAAAACATATTTTTGTTAAATAAAATTTCTTTTATTTAGAATTTATCATTAACGTTATCTGTCAGTCACAAAATTCGTCAATATCGCCATAATGAATGGTTTTGAATAATCCTCACCCGAAGCTAGTCTGCGCCATGTAAAATTTCAACTTAAAAAAAAAAAAAAAACATGTATACTGTGAGGCCAACAGTCTCGAAAATGCGGTAGTAGCTAGCTTTCACAGTATGTCTCGCTAATATTGAACCCCCCCCCCCCCCCCCCCAGAAAAAAAAAGCGTGTTATAAAGCAAGTTGTCTGTATTGACGAGAAAAAATTGCTAGTATTTCCCCAGCTCGTCCCAAAGAATACTGTTTTTATAGCGGGATATGCAAATGAACGGAGTCCGTATTAACCAGACATGACGTATTCCTGTTGATGTATCTGCTGAGAATAGTTGCCGTTTGCTGTTATTTCATTCTCTATACGCTTCGCTTGCTCTCTTTCAAGATCCTGGTCGCGTTCCCAGCGACACGCTCGTGGAAATGTTAATCACCGGCACCGTACTGTGGCTCTCTTCAGTTCATACATGGCATAAGGGAGTTTTGAAGGAGTTCAGGGATGAGTTGTGTTTGAAATACTAGTATCTTAAACACGTATTTGAAATATTTATTTTGTATTTCGTACTTAATTGCGTATCAAGAAAAGCCTATGGCATCTAAGTACCGAATATTTTGCATTTCAAGTACTTGCAGCCATTTCAAATACTGAATGTTGGGCGATTTTCTTCGCAATCAAATGCAATTTTAGGCACTCTTTGAGATTGGAGTCATACCAGAGGCTTTCTGTGCACAAATGAGCACTGAGGCGAAAATGAAGAGGAGAACAAAGAATGAACGGATGGGTAAAATTATCGAGTTTTATTCAGTCATTTTATTTTTGACTACCGATATGTTGTTTCAGAAAGGCTTCGTTATTCCAAATGAACATTTGATATTAAAGGGGCCATGAAACGAATTTTGGGTTGGGATAAATAATTTCAAATTGGGACTTTACTTATCGCATATCGTTTAGTTGGCCAAAAGGAAAGTAAACAGCCAGCTTTTCAGTATAAAACATTTGAAGACATAGCGGACTTCATTGTACCTTCTTGCCTTCGAAAGCTGTCCGCCTTTTCACCTATGATACATCCGCGGTTCCCAAACGCGTCAGCGGTGCCGACCTGACGTCAGCAGAGCCCAGCTCACGCATTGGACACGATAACTGCGTCATTCGGACGTATGTGCTCGTCAACAGTAAATCCGTCGACGAATATTCGGATTCGCGTCCGTGGCCAATGAGTGCCCTGACGGAACTTATCGTCACTGGAAAATGACAAGTTTTATGGTGTGCATAAAAAGCACGGTGGAAGCTAAGAGTCATCGCACCGGTGCCGAAGGAATGTCACGACCACGTGATTTCACAATTCGCATTTGAGTTGAGGATTAAAGCTAAGGAGGAAGAAGTAGGAAAATCGTTTCATGACCCAAAATGGTGAGTTGGGCGCCAGTTGGTTCATAATGGGAAAAGACAAGCGCCGA